CACTTAACGGTGAAGCGTGAACATCAAACTTAACATGCTGAGCATCATACATATCATTACAATTAACAGGCAACTCATCGTGACTTACTTTTTTGTCTGCTTCCATTGTGCCATGTCCCTTTCTTGACCCAGGCATTATCCAACGTTACCAAAGAATCCAAACTGCGTTGATAATCCTTGTCCAAAGAGAAGCTGGCTGCAGATCTAGTAAGTACACCCAGACGATTTCCAGAAGGCGCCCACGAAGAATGAAAACTGTTCCCGAAGACGAACAAATGAATAAAAACTGTCAAGGAACTTGGCCCTAAGTTCCTATCGTAATGAAGACTTAAGCGATTGAGCCGATAAATACTATGCGCTTTCTTCAACTTTAAATCCAAAACACCAGTATTCCTCGAACGAAATTATATTGTTTGGCAATTAAATTGAAGAAAACTACAAAGTCTGCAAACAAATGTTAAGTACAAATGAAGTTATAAAGTACTTTTATTCGTATTTAAATCCAGTCTTCGTTCAACTTGCAAGCGATCGTTCCATTCGCGCCTTGAATTGCCCGCTAATGGTTGCCAGTTCCAATAAAACAAACGTTCAATGTTCACTTCCATTGACACTCCCCGGCAAAATAGGGTCCATCCCTTTTTTCCACAACGGCGGTAACCTTGAACTGAACTGCCAATGCGGGAACCTGGGCCAATCGGGACTAGGCTAAAATTGGAAAAGCAAGACAAAAAAGCCCAACACACAGCAAACATACCACGTCACACCGACACGCTCTCCCCGGCGCATGGGGTCTACGCTCTCTGACGACAATACCACCACTGATCTCATTCACAAAGTATCGATTGCTTCATTCCACTCTAGCCCAATCCTCTCCCCGGCGTATCCAATCGCGTACGCTGACTCTAACATTACACGATTCACTCACAAGTTTAGAAGCGAATTCAGAAGTGCTTACAAAACATTACAAGATGATTCACACAATGCGACAACTATAAGATTAACCGACAATCAGATGAATCGGAACCCACTTAATTACTTAACACAAACATATATACAATCAATACATCAAATATCGCGGATTCTGCCTTGACGAGCTACCCTTGAAGAACTGTAGGACTTACAGCAGTACGCCTACCTTTCTTCTCAGGTTGACTCTCCAGGTGGAAGACGTCCGGACACAAACAAAATTAATCAACAGATAGAAGAGGGATGATACCAATTCATTATATACAACAAGAACATATATACAAAATAATACACCAAGTACGATGGACTGCTCTTCGACGTACTACCCTTGAAGAATTGTAGGACTTACAGCAGTACGCCTACAACCCTTCTCAGGTTTACGCCCTTAAGTTGGAAAATCGTCGTTGAGCTCATTTGCTGACCTCCTTCCATCATCTATATCCTCGACTCTGAATGGTAACACGCCCATGACATTGTATCGTGGAAGGTAGATGACTAACAAACATACGACGTATCTGACCAACCAAGCGAATGTACAAAGTAATTTGCACCAAAGATAATAACATTCAAATAGTAGTTTGAAACCTGAAATGCCTTTATTCGTGCAAGTCAGTCTAACAGTTACCACCCTGTACACAGTTGGCTTATCGTCACTAAACTGGCCATTGACTTTCGTCCCTTCGAACGGACCGACACTAGCATAATCACTGCATAAGACACGTTGATTCATGGACGGCTCTTTTACTGCATATGACAACACCAACGACGACTGGCTGACACCAGTTGATGAACTTAGCGGTGTATCAGAAGCTGTTATTGTTAGATCTTAGGAGGTTGTCTAACCACAGGATTACCATCACTGCCATCTTTCATTATTGGCTCCAGTTCTGCATTAACATCTGTCAATAGGTTGACTACACGCGAATCATTTACACTGACGGCCTCACGAGTATCCATATCTGCAGCAACCGCATCTGTCTTTAATTCTACTTCACTTTCAAGTTGTACAGAACCTTCGTTCAACTCAGTAGTAGTAGGCATTCCGCTAAACTCATCATGATCAGCCAAAGACAAATGTGAACTATCGTGACCATTGTCACGAATACCCACTTTACCGCCGTCTGTATGATAGACTTCATCATTTTCAAACTCCTTAATAACAGCCGTAGATGACTCACGTTCTTCTTCATGAATCTTTAAAGGTTTTATTCCTTTACTCTGACTAGTAATACCTTGTAAACTTGTGGAGTCAGAACTGGACACTGAAACTGTAACCCTCTTCGTATGCACAAACTGCGGTGTCGTCTGAGTCACTCTTTTCAACAATGGATTACCAGTTACGACAACAGGCTTCTTCACCGCACCATTAGCGTTACACAATTCGGAGTCAGAATACGATGACGCTGACTTCACATTTAGCTTGCAACTAAACTTGCTCGTTGCTTCACAGTTCGCCTTTGTATGCACTTCTTGCAAACGGACGAAGCACAACCGTGTTTGTCTCGCAGCTTGTAACTTATCCGTTGGGGACGTCTCACTAAAGCTGTCACAATCATTAGGTTTACTAGACACCGTGCAGCTTTCTCGATATCCACTACGCTGAGACCCCTTCGTCATAAATGATTGCATTTTGCTCTCTGATTTCTCTATTCCAGGGGTAGGATGCAGTATACTAGCAAACTTGCTCAAAGCTTGGTTGACACTGTCTTTCACCAGGCTCACAATGTCATCCAACCCGGGCTCTAAACCCTCCCCCTCTAGACGTGAACAAACCTTTATGAACTTCCTTTGTAGACGAACAGGTAATCTCTTGGCAACAGTTTCAAGCACGGAACTTGAGTTCAATTCATCTACGCAGTTAAAAGACATGAGTGTATTTCTATATACCATCAAATTATCCAAGAACTCTGCAAGTTCCTCTGCATTATCGTTTAACTGGGATCCGTTACCTTTCACTGTCTCGAAAATACTGCGGGATATCATAAATGGCCTCCCAAACCTCTGACGGAGTATCTTCATGGCCTCATCATATCCTTCGTTCGGGGGCATAAACTTGCAGCACTGTATGGCTCTTGCAGCCACACCAGTACAATATCTTAATAAATACATTAACTTCATTTCATCATTTAATACAAAACCACTCAGCATGACCTCAAACTCTTTGACGAACTGTGGGTAGTCGGCTGGGTTTCCATCGAAGCATCGTGGTTCAAACTTAGGCAATCTTAAACCCTTACTGTCACTTAACGGTGAAGCGTGAACATCAAACTTAACATGCTGAGCATCATACATATCATTACAATTAACAGGCAACTCATCGTGACTTACTTTTTTGTCTGCTTCCATTGTGCCATGTCCCTTTCTTGACCCAGGCATTATCCAACGTTACCAAAGAATCCAAACTGCGTTGATAATCCTTGTCCAAAGAGAAGCTGGCTGCAGATCTAGTAAGTACACCCAGACGATTTCCAGAAGGCGCCCACGAAGAATGAAAACTGTTCCCGAAGACGAACAAATGAATAAAAACTGTCAAGGAACTTGGCCCTAAGTTCCTATCGTAATGAAGACTTAAGCGATTGAGCCGATAAATACTATGCGCTTTCTTCAACTTTAAATCCAAAACACCAGTATTCCTCGAACGAAATTATATTGTTTGGCAATTAAATTGAAGAAAACTACAAAGTCTGCAAACAAATGTTAAGTACAAATGAAGTTATAAAGTACTTTTATTCGTATTTAAATCCAGTCTTCGTTCAACTTGCAAGCGATCGTTCCATTCGCGCCTTGAATTGCCCGCTAATGGCTGCCAGTTCCAATAAAACAAACGTTCAATGTTCACTTCCATTGACTAGGGGAATCGGGAGCCTGAACATCTGCGGCATGTTGCACGTACTCCGGAATAGCTAGCGTCTATCCCTGCTCTATTACATCCTCTCCAACTGTGTTGTCCCTCACTAGTTACTGCAAGTGACGCAGAAATTGTGATGGCGATCTATTTCCAATGGACTCCCCCAGAAATAATCGTTGTATGCCTAGGTTTTTTGACATGGAATGTCGATTTATCAATTCGCACTTGAGTAAAGTGTATGGTTACTCTGTTTGGATAAGAAGTAAAAGCTCCCGCAGCTCTCTGGTAGTGGGATAAAGTAGTTGAGAACACATGTCGGTGTGTCGGTGGCACAGTGGTTAGGACTATCGCCGACCATGCACACGGTCCAGGGTTCGATCCCCTACCGACGCACACCCGATATCTATGGTCGGCCTGCGAAATTTGGGCTACCGATATCCATGCTGAAAATGTCATACTTGTACTGAAAATACGGTGTGGCATCAAGCTGTAATCAAAAATATAAAAAAATAAATGTCACTATACCCAGAGCTCTCAGACTTAATTCTATATCAGTCTCAGTAGTGCTCTAATCCAGGAAAGCATAATTCAGGATCATGTCTGTCAAATTCAGGTAAGCTAGTTGACGGAGTTACTAAGGCATCTGTCCCCGTAGAATTAAAGTTTTTTGGGCCAGACTCCACGATGAGGAAATTAGATATAGTAATAACAACTAAACAAAACACGTACGAATATGAGCAATAAAATATGTCAAAATACAACCAAACAAATCCTGAAAGTATAAGTTACGGTGAACCACACCAAAATTAAACGACTAATTGTGAACTCCTCGGGTTTTCAAACTTAGTAACTCACTGTATTATCTGACTTCGGTGGTGACTGTACAACATCCAATCGCACTGTTGGAGGTGAGTGCTAAAAAATTCAACCTTGACTTTTGCTGCAGATCTACGACGAAAAGTTGAAACTACCTATATCATCCATAGGAACATAGTTTGGGGTGAAAAATAGGGATTTAAACGGGTTGTTATCGGTGTACTATTTGGTCCAATGTTTCACTGCTGGAGGTAGTTAGACTCTGAAACTTAACCTTGAGAAAACAGCTGGTATTTCGCGCCTGTTCTGAATTCTCAAGGATGACCAGAGCGAAGGACGACCTTTAAACTTCTAATTTTTTCGAAGGAAGATGAGCAAACGTTGTGATATAGTTCATTTGAACGTTGGAGGTCGAAAGTATGTCCTAATTTTCAGGCTCATTAAAATATGTTAGATTTTCGACATCTCGTAATACGCTATTATGGAATAAGAACTCATTTTTCAGCATGTAAGTATTCAATCTCTTTATATTTCTTGCTTGTAGACTTCTAGATGGTGCTCTGCCCACCATGAAGGATGAATCTGGAGCTGTAAATATTTTTTTAGATTACCCTAATTGTCCTAGATCTTCATAGACAGAGACCCAGATATGTTCAGTGTGATTCTCAACTACCTACGGACCAATGAATTAAATCTAAATGGTGTGGATATAAATTCGCTCAAGAATGAGGCTCAATTTTATGCACTCGACTCCCTGGGTAAGACGTATTTTTCCGAAGATATCAGCTTATCTAGTAAGAAAACTTTCCCTGTGCGAGGAGAATCTGCTTGGACGATGTGGAGATTTACTGTTTCACGCTTATATGCCAGCACCTGGTGCGTTGAGTTCCTTATAGTGTGACTTAATTTTGACATTTTGCGAAATTAACTTGTAGCATTCTATGGCTTTAATATTGTAAGCTTATCCCCTGTTTTGAGTTTATCTCTAAACAGAATCAGATAATCTAAGCTTTCGATCGTACTGTAATTTAAAACAAGATATGGGATAGCGTTCTTCAACGTCATCCTGATACGCGTTGACTGTCAACACTAAATAATTTCTGAAAAGGCATAAATCTTCCTACATTTGATTGTTAATGAATTAAAGGTGTTTTTGTTGTTCTAAGACTATTTGTGCCGTACATGGCGTTCAGAAATCTTTTTGAAGTTGTGACTATGTAGTTAAGTTTTTCGTTCGTTTCTCATCACCTTAGTACGTATTGAGTCTTTTTTCTATCCTTCCTTGTCACAATTAACTGAAACCGCCTCTATGTTCATGGTTTTGGAGGCTATAGTCTCAAGTTAGTTTACACTTACCATTATGAGTAAAGTGCAACTGTTTGACACTCCAAGTAATCATCTTCAAACTGAAATATGGAGTGATTATTTCACATTTAATAGTCTGGACCAACATTCTAAGCGGATAGTCTAAATATGTAACATTTAAATGTTTAATAGCTAGTTTTACATTCACCTTTCAGGCTATTATTGTAAGTTCATATCTTGTGTTTGCATCCGTTTATTAATTACTCTGTTGTTTTCATTACAGATTTTGTCCTGGACGATTCTGGATCATGTTTCAGGTAAACTCAGCTTTTCTGTAGTAATTTTAAAATAACCTAATAAGCTATTAAAAGCCATTTTTAGAATGCATGTTACTGCTTGTATTACAACATTTCAATTTACTAGATGTTGAACTTCACACATCATAAGTAGAGGTTATAAGAAGACAATACTTTGTATCGAATGTATAATTTTAGTCGATAATAAAATGAAAGTTTGTTGGTTACCTTTGATTCCCCGTTTGCCATTGTGTTTCTCTTTTGCTTCCGAGCTATCTGAATTATGCATGTTAGTATGTGCAAATAGCTTTTAAGCATCAAACTTATTAACTTCTAAGCAAGCATCAGTGTAATTTCAAGTTGTAAATTCCCCAAAATTCTATGCTAAATTGAACTCGAAAGTGCTAAAGTAGGAAGTCGAATGTAGCTAATTACCAAATAAGCAGAATTCACTTTTTTAAAGTTAAGTTTACCTTTAGAAACATTGTTAACATTAAGTCTCATAAAGAAGCTTCAACAATCAAAAAGGTAAGAAACTCAGATGTATGTGGACTACATTCTTCCTACTGATAGTCACGTTGCACCATGTATTTTACTGAGGAATATAATAATTTAGAAACTTCTTATAGCATTCGCAAGCACCTTCAGGTTAAGTTAATAAGTTTTCCTTGTTTTTTCTTACGACTTACATGGGGGTTCCTTACTTACCTTTTATGGTCATTTGAGTGAAACTGCTAAATCTGATGAGCAAATTAAACAAATATCATAAAAATTGCTTTATCCATTAAAAACTATGTAAAATTGTCAGCTAGGTTTGGTTGAGTTGTATGGTGCTACGTGACTACACAAACTTTTTAATTATTCTATAGTCCGACTTTTTGTTATCATGATTACATAAGTCAGTAATCATCCTTTATTTTTGGAATGATTGTTATTATCATCTGGTAGATGGAACACCAACAACCAATGCAATCCACCTAATGGTCTTTGTCTGCCACCATATTCATCACCCAGCTCATCTATGAGAGGACAAACAGATACAATGGGGAGGGGTCCTGGAATCCCTCAACACAGAAATTTATCGACTGAAACGCCAACACCTGACTCCATTCGCAGTAATCCTGGTTGTAGTACAAGTAATGCTAAAGTGTAAGTAAATGAATGTTTTTAAAGTGTATGCTGTTTGTTTTATTTAGTAGCTGTTATTGTCAGATCCATTTATAAACACTTTTCATCTAACATTTGTGGTATCAGACTGAAGTGAATAGTGGACCACAGTAATAGATATCAAATACAGCAAAGAACTAATAACTTCAACATGTACAAAAGTCACTCTAGTATTTAGTGTGTTAATACATCAGTTGAACTTTATATATATATATAAAGTTCTAAGGAGGATGTACGACTTTTCATCAATGACATGGACATGATGTAGAGTTTAATTGCTATGATTGTAAATATTTCGAGGTAATATAAAACAATTTGCTTACAAAGACATGCCAACACAGTTTTTACTTTTACTCTGATTATTTAACTGCAAGTGATTTAACCGGATTGACTCCAGGTAGAGAATCAGTAGAGATATGGGTTAGACATACACTGAAAAGACATTCAGGTGACATCACACACCAGGCTGTCGAGTGAAATTCGAATAGGAAGCGACGGGTTGTGTGCGCCGGGGATGGTTTAGAAAAAAAAAAGCCATGTGAAGAGGAAATTAAAGCTTTTAGGTAACTGTGAAGTCAGTTAAGTGTAATGTCACAGAACCGACTACATTATGGTTGTGCCACTGAATCCTTATGTTCTACTTGGAGTGCAAGGAATCAATAATAATAATATAAGAGAACCAGTGGAGATCATGTCCAGAATGTTGAAAAAAATGCTAGCTCTTTGGCTGTCTCTTTCTTCAATTCTTGTGGAGAATTTTATGACTTAAGTATTTCAAAACTCACAGATACTATAGTTGTGTCTAGTTGCAGTGTAGAAATTTCATAGAGTAGTACTTTATTTCTAAAAGTTCATTACAGTGACTTGATTTTTATATTGTAACATTATTTGTTCCTGTTCAACTGTTTGGAAACCCTTACATTTAGATTGTGAACTGCCGCACATATGTGCAGAGTTCTATGTCGAAAACCGACCGACCGAGATTGTGATTGGATTACAGGCTAACGAAACATGATGAACAAGTCATTGCAGTTTTGATTAAGTTTGGTCACATAGATTCAGCTGTTTTGCTTTCAACCAAGCGTAGTTAGCTGTCTCATGTGCACCCCGCTGTCATGAAATTGTCTCTAAGTTTCCGGATTTTATGGTGATGACTCTATAAAGTCAAAAAGCCGCATAAAACATATTGTTTTATTGATATATTTAAATTTGTACTTTATATGTATCTGTAAGCCTTAATTTATGTTTTTGTCATTTCAATCAACAACAACAACAAAAAATAATCTGTCCACCAAAGCCCTTTGAAAAGTGATCACCACCGTCCACCAGATGATTCTACAAATGAAGTTTTTGATGAAAGTGCTACTACTACTAATACTACTAGTACTACTACCAATGGCCCATCGAATTTAAAATATCAATCAAATCAACCTGAATTGCATCAAAAGCCTGTGACGTTAATCGCTTGTCATCAAAATATTATGGCAGCTGTATACTCTGACTGTGTGGGAGTTTTCTCGTAAGCAACTAAGTATTTTGTTTTTTCAAAATTGTCATTGATACCAATGTTTTTAAGTGTAAGTGTGATAAATTTTTGTATATAAAGTCTCTTTTAATTTCCACTGTGTTTGAGAAATATACGGCTCAAACAAAAGTATGTTTTGTGTTGAAAATGTAGCTAGTTTTCGAGTGAAACTTCTACTGACTTGAACTTGCTTTGCTGTATAAGGCTGGAATTAGCGTGGCATTTAAACCAACCAACCAACCAACTATCTTAGAGATAAAATTTGTCGGCTAAAGCACCTAATAGGTCCAATTAAGAAAAATAATATAATCTACCAAATACCATGTAATAACTGTGAGGTCAACTACACAGGTCAGACTAGTAGGTCGGTATCAACTAGATTATTGGAACATAAAAATTTAGCTATAGCTAGAATGATTGTCCCTGCTGAGTTGAATAACCTAGAAGAAGCTCAGCCATTGCATTGCATTCACTTGCATGTAATCACACAATAGGATGGATGGGACAGGGTGAGAGTATTAAAAAGTAATGTAGTTAGATGGAGAGAGAGAAATTAATCACTGAAGCTTTGTTCATCGACTGAATACCACACACGTACAATCCGAATGAAACAACGCCTATGATATCGGAGATATGGAAAGTGGCAACAAACAAAAAGGGGAAGATTTAGAGAGAGAGAAAATACATTTATGAGACAAATTTTGAAGCTGTGGGGCTAAATTCACCTGATTATGAGCAATAATTTATGCTGGAGACGTCATGCAGTTGTTAATACTACATCACTTTGTGTGATATTTGATGTGTTTTTCAAGTATTGGTTTTGTAGGGGTTTTTGTTTGATTGCACCCACCGGGGTTCGGACCAGGACCATCTGGTTCCAAGGCCAGAGAGCTCGTAGACCGTTGAGCGTACGTACTGATGGAGAGTCCCAAACTAGGATGAAACAGCTGTCCAGTACTCCCAGGTTTTCCAGCGGTTCTCTAACTGATGTCAGCTCATGATGATTGCTTCCTACCACAGTGCTTAAGTTCTACATTTACATTACTGTGTATGTATACTAGGAATCCACTAGGAGTTCAGTTATATCACTTTACTGAAATTCTTACAGTTGGCACTTTCTCTTAGGGCATCAAGCTTTGAAGTTTCAGTATCAGTGGTGTTGTTTTTACGGGATGGGGTTGCTAGCTTCGCATCCACCCATCCCTCCGTCTTTTCCGAGTTTTCTACCGGTTAGTAAACTAGGTGAGGTTTAGGAGAGTGCGTCGACTGCGAATCGAATCCTAACATTATTGGGATTGTCACTACAATCTTATCACTGCCGAACTATTCTTCTGTTGGGTGTGATGGTACTAGGCAGTGAAATATGGTCAGTAATAATCAGGTAAAACGTAGAATTTTAGATTGGGAAGGAAAGTCACTTGTTCTATGCTGATTGATAATTCAGCTCAGTTCACTTCTTATACACAACAACTAACATAGTTGACGTTCGGCATGCTATATTGTTAAAGGTGTTTGTTGTGGATTGGATGGTGTGTTAAGGTTAGTGTAATCCACTTTACTTATACACTCACGGAACTTCATCTTATGTTAACATAGAAAAGAAGTATGTTTGTTTGATTGTAACTGATTGCAGTGTGAATGGAGTTATCGACTACTTTATTTGCAGACAGAATGACTTATCAATGCTAGGAGTTTTGCACTTATTATTATTATTGTTATTGTCAACTTCTTTTTTACAGAGCAATACGGTTCTTTTAGATGTAAATCATGCTCCAAAGACATTGAAATGTAGAAATTGTATATTTCCTTACTTCTCCAAGGGTTAGTCATATTGTTTAGTGTTGGGCTGAGACTAGTAGAGGTTAATCATTATCGATCAGATGTTCAGTGATCGTGCTTCTTGTTGCTCCACTTCCACCTCTTCGTAATCATGCAGGATACTGTTCTTGTACTAGTATAGGTCTTCTAATATTTGAAGTGAAGAGTATATATATCTATATATACATATGATAGGTTATGACTGAAGGAAGATGGTATTTGAGCCAGTGGTCTCCAGTTTACTAGTCTGATGTCCTACCAGTCGAGTTGCTAAACCCAATCACTAACCAGTCTGCTAAATCAAGCCTTAGACAGCCTCGAATATTTATATATATATGCATATATATATATACATATATACATCGGGTGTGTGCGTCGTTGGTTCATTGGTAGAATACTCACCAACCACGCACGTGGTTAGGGGTCCGATTCCTGGCTGACGCACTTCTGAGTCTTGCTTAACTGGTTGCAAGCCCAATAAATAGAGGAGGATGAGCGGGAGGCTAGCAGCCTCACCCCGTAAAAGACATCATCGCTATTGAAACTTCAAAGCTCAGGCCTGAAACCCTACGTTCCCCTCAGAGAGTAAAAGAATATGAAGAACTATTTCCAGTATAGTGGTGATGGCAGACTGCCGCACATATGTGCAAAGTTTTATGTCGAAAACCGACCGACCGATGGCAGACGAAAACCATTGATTTCTATAGATCTTAGTAAACGAGTTTGATTGATTCTTTAAAAATACTGCAGAAAAATAAGTACTGTAATAGAAATAAGCGTATTTTACGAAGAACGACAGTCTCGTTACTTTTTACGTGGTAGTTTTTGTTGATTTGAAATATGCTAATGATTTTTATCACACCTACCTACCTACCTACCTGTTGTTCTCTGCATGCAGTAATAGTGAACTGTTAGATCGATATATCCTGTGGCGTGTGTGTTTGTGTGTTTATCTTTATTCATCGTTTCAATATTCAAAAGTCTGCTTGTTTTTCTCACTTATTCACCAAGGTATTAGTTTTATTTTATTTTACTGTTGAATGTCTGTCTATATACGGTGAATAAAAGTGGGTAAGCTTTTCGAGAAAAGTATCTTGACTTTTCAAGACAGTACAAAGGATATTATGTGTTCATCAAATATGAAAAGGCCTTGAACAGCGTTGACCTATAAAGTTAGTTTGAAAACTGTTTCAACACTACAGAGAGTCCCAAACCTTCATGAACCTCATTCAACAGCTAGATAGTGATGTCACATGTCAAATGATTCACAATGAGAACCCGAGCGAAGCATTTGAAGTGATGAAGATAAGAGGGTAAAGCAAGGCTACTTATTATCACCACCGATGATGTTTCTGTTTACGGTGGACTGATTCATGCTGCAGACAGTAGGGAGCGAGAAGGCAGGAATTCGTTTGGCTGGAAAGGAAACTCTAGAAGGTTTAAACTTCGCAGATACTTTATGCCTAGTGTCACACAAACTAAGAAAATCTACAGGTGAAAACTAACAAGATGGCAGAAGAGTCAGGCAGTGAAGACAGAACTTCAAGTGAACACAGAGAGAGCAGACGTAGTGAAGAAGATACTTAATCAACAACATCAAGAACCAACCATCATCTACGAAAGCAGTCTGAAAGAATTCCTCTCTTTCATTTACCTTGGAGGCATCGTTTCAACTACAGGCGCCACGGTTGAGTTTGTCGAAGATAGGATCGTAAAATCTAAACCGACCTTTGTTAATCATTATGGAGATCTACTGCACTCTGCATTAAGTAGTATATGATTAGGATTTTCAACACAATTGTCATATCAGTTCTTCTATATAGTTCAGAGAATTAGCACACGCGTCATCGAAACCATTTCCAACAGCCCGGTGCAGACTTCCCTCAACAACTGCCTTCGCTCCATACTGAAGATCAGATAGCCAGGAAGGATTATCAACAAGGAAAGAACCTTTTGCCCAATAAATATGCCGGAGAAAGTGAAGACGGATCAGATACACGCTGAGGAGTCTGTTGAGTGACATCGCGTGTCAGGCTCTCGAGTAGAACCCGAATGGGAAACAACAAGTTGGGTGTGAATCCGTGGATGACATGAAGGAGACCGTGTAACGAGGATATGACAGTTTACGGTCAATCGTGAAGCCAACTAAAAAGGTTTATACAGGACAGAATGAAATGAATGTGATTTCCCGTTGATGTATCTAACCGAAATTGGTCAGCTTCATTTCGGTGTTTGACGATCTCCTTGAATGGACACTTTTTGATATTACAAGAATTACTAGCTTGAAGTTACTTGCTTGATGGTGGTTACCAGCAGTAGAATTTAGGACGCATGTTTCATCCTATTCGGGACAAAGGGAAACTGTGTTAAACCGTTTATCCGAGTTATATGGAACTTCGATGGTGTACACAGTGAATTACGATTCCAAATTCAGTCTACATAAGTGTAAATAGTTAAATAGTGTAATTTACGTCTACGAAATGCATGTGACCCATTGCTTTAAATGTAAATCTGTCTGTATTGGTTTCAGTGAATTTGAATTTTATATTGATGGATTGATGATACCGGATGGAAAGCTGCAGTCTCTGTTGGCACGTTGGCTCTTAGTAAGAAAGCGTTAATGATGTCTTAAAATAAAAACGGAATGTCACTTGGTTTATAGTGTCTATCAGTGGAATCTAGTGCATGTCGCTATTTCACCAAAGGGGAAATTCGTAATAACTTTAACAAGTAACAATTGACACCATATTTCACAAGAGGTAGGCCTCGTGGCTCTGTACCTTGGCGGCATTCGAAACAATAGGTGCTGCGTTTGAGTATCCATGGGAACATTATCACCCATAGGGGGTTATGGTAAGCACAGTTGAAGAGCTCGAAGTGAGACGAATTGCGGGATATGAATTCCATTGCTAACCGCTACCAAACAAGTAAATTTGTCCGTAGTTTTTGGACTCTAGTTTGTTTCAACTGAACCCAGTGACGTTAGTCTCTCCAGTAACAATTAGACCTAATAAAGCGTAATTCAATACAAAAGGAACAAATTTTAAAGTTGGCGTTATTATAAACTATGAACCAGCTGAGAAAGGATTTCGCATTGTTGACATTAGTAATGTCACAGGTAGCTTAAAACATTTCCTGCTAACAAGTTATCACAAAACTTTTTTTTAAAAATTTTAAAACAAATCTATTTAAACATATCAAAAGTTTTATTCTGTTTCATCTTATTCAGTCTAAAAGATCCTATTGGTTGGCACCTGACATGGTTAAGCCCTATACTACCTGCACCAATCGATAGAATCGCTGTAACTGGTAAAGCGCCCAATCAGAATATTTTAGGTTCTGTTTCATCAAATGCATCTGGAAACTCTGCACCACTATTTCCTGTGAATCCTACAGTAAACTCGTCAAATGTAAATCCAGTCGGTAATAATTCCATCAATCCTAATGCAAACAACAACAATGCTAATAACAGGCATCAGCCAGCGTCTAATTCCACAGCCAGTTCAAGTTTTCCAAATAATCTGTCTTCACAAAACGCGCCACAACTTAATCAGTCTCATATGTCGGCACCAAATAATCTACCATCTGTGATAAATCCCTCCTCATCGAGTGGTGGTGGATGTACACTGGCAGTAGCTGTTGGCTCAACTATCACACTGTGGTATTTATATCCCCCGTCTGGGTTGATATCTGCTGTCGTTTCATATGGTGGACAATTTGGTGTGACTACCTCACCTGCTACTTATTTCTTATCTCCATTATATCCATTTATGCCTATGCCGGATGTGAAGAATGGTAGCAACACTTATCCACCGTTAGCTAAAATTAAAGAACCTTGGACTAGTGAAATGGTAAGTGACTGCTATTCAAACAAGGATAATGAATCTTTTTGTTGTTGTTGTCTATCAGGAAGCGTCTTGTCGTCGTTTTATTTCGGTAACTTACCTTGGGTTCGATTTCTTATGAAGTAGTAAATGAGCACTATTGAAGCGTTCTATGAGACGAAAACAATAGTTGTTTCCAATGTTTGATTAACTGTTATTCAAGTAAACTGAGTCGCAATAATCTCAACGAATTTTCCGCGAATCACTGAAAAGGGGTTCAGAAACTCCAGCAGATGTGCTCAGGCCATTAGTACAAAAGGTTTAGAAAGAAGGAAGGTACCCACTGATTGGAATAAAGGCTACCATGTCAAGCTGCCGAAGAATGGCGGCCTAGGCCTGTGCAAGAACTGGCGTGGAATAATGCCGTTGTCCATGCCAAGTAAAATACTAAGTCGCATCATCCTGGAGAGGATAAAACATGCTCTGAATACAGATTTCCACCAGCCAGAACAAGTTAGATTCAGGAAAAGCAATTCATGTGCTGATCAAATTACAACTCTACTCATCGTCATCGAACAAAGCAGAGAATGGCAGTCAAACCTCTACCTCAACTTCATCGACTTTGAGAAGGCGTTCGACAGCGTCGACCGAGAATTAATTTGGAAACTACTTTAACACTGGCGTATCTTAAGTCTTCATCAACCTCGTTCAAGAGCTGGCAATGCCACGTGCCAAGTGACCCACAACGAGGAACTCAGCGAGGCATTCGAGGTGAACACAGGAGTAAGATAGGGCTGTCTATTATCACCAATGATATTCTTAATTGTGGTGGACTGGATCACGTGTCAGATTGTGAGAAGCGAGGAGACAAGAGTACGCTGGATCACCGATGAGAAGGCTCTAGAAGATCTGGATTTCGCAGATGATATATGTCTAATGTCACATAAACTCGAAGACTTGCAGGCGAAAACCAACCAACTGGTAGAAGAGGCTGGCAGTGAAGACAGGACTCCAAGTGAACATAGAAAAGACGGATGTGATGAAGATAACCAACGAACTGCAACAACAAAAACAACCAATCACCATCAACAAGGGAGATCCGACAGAGGTTACTTCTTTCATTTATCTAGGAAGCATCGTTTCAACTACAGATGTAATGGATGAAGATGTCAAAGTCAGAATCGGCAAGGCAAGATGCACCTTCATCAACCTGAAACCGGTTTGAAGATGTTCCGCACTCAGTATAAGGAACAAGATTCGTATTTTCAACACAAATGTGAAGTCAATCAGTTCTTCTATACGGGTCAGAAACTTGGCGTGTCATGAAAAGGATTTCCAACAGGTTGCAGACTTTCATCAACAACTGCCTTCACTGACTCCATGCTGAAGATCGAATGTCCAGGAAGAATAAGTAACAAGAAACTGTGGGAACAAACCAACAGGTGAGAACCGATTGCTCAACAAACATGTAGGAGAAAATGGAGATGTATTGATCGGGCATACGTTAAGGAGACCGTCGAATGACGTCGCGCGCCAGGCCCTCGAGTGGAATCCCAGTGGGAAGCGACAAGTGGGTCGTCCTAGGATGACATAAATGAGATGGTGTGAGGAGAAGATGAGAGATTCTGGGCAATCGTGTTCCAAGGTGAAGATGACGGCAGAAGATAGGACAAAGTGGAGATGTGTTGTTGAAACTCTATGTTCCACTCGGAACTTAAAGGAATAATTATAATCTCAACGAATAAAATGAGTAATAAATGACATTATCTTGCGTCAGTTTCGTGTTAACCGTAGAAGTTGATTTCTCTCTGGAGTACTTGGAATAGAAGGGACATTAGTGTTGCATCATGGCACAGCCCAGAGGACAACTGTTCTAGTTGAGTTACACACAACTATATTACGGTAACAACTACCGGTATGGCCAACTTTAACCAGTACTAGCAGCGTGCATTACTCAGAATAAATTTTGTTTATTTGTAATTCAACATTTAATCGTGCATTAGTTTTGCACATCCAACTGATTCTAGCTTGTAAGTTACATGTATATAAAGGGGCTGGCAATATCTTTCACTTGCACTAAAATAAATCATACATTCGCTACCCTTTAATACGTTTAATCTGATGACTGGTAATTTGAGTTTTATTGTTGTCTCAGACGATAATCGGCACACCTCATGTCGTCATCAGCGTTTGGTTTAACTGGTTATTACGCAATGCTACTCCTGCTTCCCAATAAGCTTTTATTTTATTTTTTCCATTACAATTTAAGGTTGGTCAATATGATTTAAACAGGCGTGCTGTGGATTATTTAATTTTTATCGGTGCTCATCTTGTTGCACTTAGTCGACATGGTCTAGTCGGTGTTCGACATGTAATGACTAATGCATGGCAAGTAAGTTGTGTTACTCATGTTGAAATTATTTTCAAATTCTCATTGGTTGATTATATTCAAGCTGCTGCTGTTGCTGGATTCAACATAGAACTTGGCACCGAAGTGCAGCAGTTCGAGTTCCCACGTTCCAAATAGCACACAAAGGTAGACAGGAAAATGAGAGAAGAGAATCAATAGAATTTAGATAAGTATAAGAGTGAAACAGAATGAGTAATGGTAGAAAGGAGCATGAAGGTTAAAGAGACTGAATACATCTGCGTAAGCCATTGACAACGATTTTGAGCCATGTCACCTACTGTCTCCAGCCATTGATTCTTAGAGTCCCGAGGGCCCCAACCCGGAAGTCTGCATCTCCTTACCTGACTCAGTTTAACTGTCAAGGATTTCATGGATTGATGAGGCCATGTTTTTGTTTGGCCACCACTTACTCTTTTCCAACCTGCACCTATATCAGCTAGTAATGCCCGTCGGGGGAGACGATGGTTAGGCATGCGCAGCACGTGGTCTAACCATCTCAATCTATGTAACTTCATAGCCTCTTCGAGTGATTTTCCCTCTTTGCCCAACACTCTACGCCTAACGTCAACATTACTTACCTTATTATACCACCTAACGCGAGAAAGAGATCGTAAACATCTGTGGTCAAAAACAGACAATCTCTTCATGTCTTCCGCTCTCAATGGGCACGTCTCACTACCATAGAGAAGGACGGAGCGAACTGCTGAGCAGTATACACGTCCCTTGGTTGATAGCCGGATGTCACGCCTACGCCAGAGACGGTGTAAGTTAGCGAAAGCAACCCGAGCTTTCTGGATCCGTGCTGTGATTTCGTCACCAATCAATCCGTTGGTGCTGATACAACTTCCCAAATAGGTGAAGTGGTCAACATGTTCTATCACTTCACTTCCTATCACTAAGCTAGGAGTTGACGTAGTCCAGTCCTGTAGCAGCATCTTGCATTTCACAGGGGCGAATCGCATGCCAAACATACGAAGATTGCTGCTCAAGGTGTTCAGAAGACTGCATTTTGTCAGCGTCTTCCCCTAACAGGACTATGTCGTCTGCATATTCTAAGTCCATAAGACTATTCCCTGGTAACAAGTCGATTCCTAAGTCGTTAAGTTCAGTTAAGGATACTTCCATTAGCATATCTGTGATGAAGTTAAACAGAAAAGGGGAAAGTGGACATCCTTGACGGACACCACTGGTTGTTATCAATTCAGATGACAATTCCCCATAAGCCCTTACACAGCTACGTGAGTTTGAGTATAGTGCCTTGATTAGTGCAATGTACTTTCTTGGCACTCCCTTCACAGTCAAACATTGCCATAGTACCTCTCGATCCACGGAGTTGAAGGCCGCCTTCAGATCAAGAAATATGGCAGTTGTCGGACGCCTAAAAGTGTGTCTATGTTCTAGGATCTGTCGGAGAGTGAAGATATGATCTATGCACACTCTACCTGGCCTAAAGCCCGCTTGATTTTCCCTCGTTTGTTCCTCCCGAGTTCGGCTTAGTCTGTTCATGATTACTGAGCCTAGGATTTTAGAGACTATGTTCGTTAGGCTGATTCCTCTATGATTATCACATGAGGACTTGTCTCCCTTCTTGAATACTGGTATAATAAGTGACTTACCCCAGTCTGATGGAACCGTCTCTGATTCCCAGACGTTACCTAGTACCTTAGTTAAACTATATACTAGTATGTCACCCCCATATTTAAACACCTCCGGAATAATTCCGTCGGGTCCTGCCGCTTTGCCTCGTTTCAAATTACAGATTGCTTTGGTGACCTCACTTACAGACGGCGGGCCAGTGTCTATGTCCCATTCGGGTGTGTGCTGGATGGCGGGGAGGCTCAGTCTGACTGTAGGCAAGTTAAACTGTTCCTCGAAGTGTTCTTTCCAGCGTTCGAGGCGTCTACCCTGAGAGCTAATTAAGGAGCCATTTTTCTCAGAAATAGTCTCACTTATGATTTGCCTTCTCCCACCCGTTTCCCTGATGAGTCTAAATAGTTGCCTAGTGTTACCTATCGCCGATGCTTTTTCCATCTCTTTCGCCTTTGTCAACCACCACTGTTCACGGTCCTTGCGGAGACTTTTCGTAAGTTTCCTTTTGTGCAGCTTTCGCTCCTCATTGAATTCGGAGCTCGCCGGAATAAGTCTTCTAGCATCTATCAGTTCGGATGAGGCAGTCGAAATCCAATGGTTTTTACTCACCTTTGGATTTACCTTATACACAGCTTTTACAGCTGTATCTATGGCTGACTGAATATTTTTCCAGGCTTCTTCAGGGTGAGCGCAGCTGTCAAACTCAGATATGTGTTTAGCTAGTTCTTCCTCAAATAGGGACTTAGTTTCCTGATCGAGTTGGGGACGTGATGGGTTAAGTGCCAGCTGTTTCCTACGTTCGTTCAGTCGTAAGCACACACGAGCGCGGACCAGTGCGTGATCGGTATCTACACACGTGTTCCAGAACGAGCGACAATCCCCTACCGACCCACGCCAACGATAGCTTATTGCTATGTGGTCTATTTGTGTCCAGCGTTGGTTTGATGATGGAGGTCGCCAGGTCAAACAGTGTCTCTCCTTGTGTTTGAAGTTAGTGCTTACAAGAAACAAGTGATTATCTGAACAGAACTGTAGGAGGCGGTCACCGTTGTCGGTTCGCTGGCACGGAATTCCGTATGTGCCACCGACATTCTTCTCAGATTGACACAATTTCCCCACTTGAGCATTAAAGTCACCAACTAGAACGACTATATCTGAGCGTTTAGCCTTTCGCAGCAAACTAGACAGCTTTTGGTAGAACTCATCCTTCGTTTCATCCGAACTGCAGTCAGTGGGGGCGTAGGCGGAGATTACGAAAAGGCATCGGCGAGTAGTGCAGTCCTTTCTCCTTTTCACTGATCCCTTCAGACGGACAGCACACATTCGGCTATCTATCGGGATCCAGTCAAGTAATGTCTTTTCTGCCCTAGTACTCAGAGCTATCCCAACACCAGCTAGTCCTCGTGAGCTAGCCGTCGCATCTCCTGACACCCTCAAGGTGAATTTTGCAGATTCATCCTGTTGGCCAGGTGGGGTTAGGTGAATAACCACACTTGGGTCTTGTATGCGTGTTTCTGAAACACAACATATATCAATGGCTCGGAATACCAGAGTCTTGGCTAGTGATGCCTGTTGTCCTATTTGGCAAAGTGTCCTAACATTAAAAGCCCCTACATGAAATTGGTGGCATGGCTTTAGGAGACTATCGATGGTGACTTTTTGGCTTCCATCGTTATCAGTGCACACAGAGTGAAGAGGAAGTGAAGAGCCATCAAGTAGAGGAGTTGCATTGGTAGAAGGAAGGCAAGATAATAGAGATGAAGATGAAGACAAAGGTGAGTGAGGATTAGAGAGGTTTCGTGTGCACTTCGGATTGTGAGGGCGATTGTTACTTCCCGGCTGCCCACACCGTGGAAGTTGGTTGCGTGACCGCAGAGCCCAGGGGACAACTGCTTGAGGCCGGTCACACACGGCCTGTTTTTGTTTGTTTTTCATTTGGTGTGTCTCAGTAGCGTATTTATCACTTCTGCCCTGTGACACGGCAGCAGAAAGCGCGGTCGTTGTTAATCCGGGCCCCGACCGATCCGGCATGATATTTTATGATTTATTTGAAGTCATAGGATTGGATTGAAGTGCGATGTTTCTGTTGATAAGTTCCACTCGTGATATGAACGCTTTGATAGTTTGTTACTAGGTAGGTTGTCGGTAGATAATGCGCTGGCGTTTGAAACGATAGGCGCTTTGTTTGTATATGTCTAAAAACGTCTAATATCTTGATGAGTTAAAGACATGAATACATGATTAACTGGAAATCTGGCTTTCTTGATTGACATTTCTGGTATCAAGCAGACTACATACTGTATGATCTCAATATTTTGAAATTCCCATGGAAACTATAATGAATTTCGATCTCTAACTGTGTCATTTGCAAAAAAGTGAATTCGATCCTAAGATGATGCAATAGTTTTATTCATCGTTTTTAATTGAATTTATTTTTGTCTTATTCTAAAGGTTTGGAGTACTGTTCCAATATTGAGTTATGGTGTTGCTGGTTCAGAGTTACTACTCTTGGGTTGTGCAAGCGGATGTATATGCAGTATAAGTGAGTTAAACGTGTTTTCTGCATTGAACATTATTAGTCAATAACCTGAAATACAGTAAATTCCACTATAAAATTTACTGTCATTGTGTTTAAGGCTAATCTACAGATGACTAGTCCCGATCGACACACTCCCACTAGGTGGTAGTAGACTCCTCGAAAAATAGACAAGGTTGGGAACTTGAGACTAGCTACCTCCAACGCCCACTCCGTGAAAACAACATCACCATGGTTACTGAAACGTCGAAGTTGAGGCCTGAAGCCCTATGTTCCACTCCGAACTCATATGTTCTATTATTATCATTTCTGCAGAGTTTCTGAAATTCGGTAGCGAAACTGCATAATTAATTGTGTTATCCGACAGTGCTGGTTCAGACCAATTGAATATCTTCGATCAATAAGTAAGAAAATTCTTGATAAATCAGCATCGTTACAGTAATCTCTGTACCGTGTACTGTTCACTTCCTATGAGACTGGTTGAAGAAGACAGAGATATAGTGAAATTATGAGGTGGGGTCGTGAGATGCCGCAAGGCGATTGTGATCTGAGTTAGTAGTTCTTGATGTATACTGACTCTCTGAAGAAAAGTTGAAGAGATCACGCGACTTATCTTCACCCCAAACGAGCAAAACAGCTGTCCGGTGTTTAGATCGCTTCGATTTGGCTAGGAATCAATACTGGTTAATGTGAGTGACATCCAACTACTCATCTCAATCTATCAGTAGTATATAGCGTATTCTCTCTCACTTGTAATATTATTGTTTGTCTTACATTTCCTTATAATCATTCTATGCCAGGTTTAGTTTTGAATGATTCACTAAAAACGACTGTTGTAAAATTTGGGGTCAATTCAGCGAAAAGACCTTAACTTGAACCAGAATACATATGTAAAGGTCAGCTTGTTTACAAAGATAAGTAAACTATTGTAAAAATAAGGCGTTTCCTGATAAAGTTAATGGATAGACTGAACGTATACCAACAAGCCACTGGTTCCGAGTTAATTGTTTAGATTACTGATCTACAACTTCTATGGTTGTTATTAGGTTGTTTCAGGCACTAGTTTATCATCTATCAGTAATGCATATCATGGAGGATTTCATCATGAACTGACATCAGTTAGCGAACCATTGGAAAACCTGCAGGGAGTACTGGACAGCTGTTTCGTCCGAGTTTGGGACTCCTCAATAGTACGCACCCACCGGGTTTCGAACCCAGGACCTTCTGCGTACTTATGAAGAATCCCAAACTGGGACGAAACAGCTGTCCATTACTCCCAGGTTTTTCAGCGGTTCTCTAACTGATGTCATATCATGATGAAATCCTCCATCCAATCAAACAAAATCCCTACAAAGCCAATACTTGATAATGTATAGCGTATATTGATTTAGTATCTAGTAGAGTGTGGCCAAAGTTATACGTATGATCCTTAGTATTGAATTCTGTCACTGCAGTTACCGAGCTAGGCAACTAACTCACCATCGTGGCTCACTTTCAAATGACTTTAGGCGGTTGGAGGTAATCGACAAGTGGTCCTCAACCTACTTATTAGCGTATCTGTAACCTCAAGGGAATAGATGCTCCTTTCGGAAACTCGAACTCAGTGCTGCAATCAGAGATGTTTTTATTACAAAACTATTGTTTTATTCCTAATTTTTTCTATTTTGTTTTCAAATGATCTTGGAGTAGAAGGATGAACGTGGTTTCCTATCTGTGAGACGGCATTAGTTATCTGGAAGTTGCAGATATGCCCTACTGACGGTTACAATAAACAGGCAGCCCAAATCCATTGTTTCCATTAGATTACCTCTAGCCACCTAACAATGTATAACATGTTTATAATCCGCACATAATAACTAGTGAGAAAAGATGTAGATTGGTGAATGAATAAGCGTACAATTTGAGTAATTTAAAACCTACTATACAAAAATAATATATTTATTGAATTATGGCGATTCATAAAGTGAAATGCCCTGAATGCACATATAAATTATATTGTATCCCTCCTTTCCCTTGTTTTCCATATATTTCTGGCTTGGTTGTTATCGGTGATTGGACTTTTCGTAATACTAGTTTCGTTCAACTTCATCCTTACATACAGTTATTTGATCAAATAAACATTCCGTAGCAGTGATGATTATTTTTACAGGATGGGGTTGCTAGCCTGATGCCCAACCTTCCCCCTTTACCACTTTTACCACTGGTTTAGCGAGGTGAAGGAGTGCGCCGGCCGGGGATCGAACCCCGGACCACCTGCGTGGTCGGCGAGCACTCTACCGCTGTGTCACCGACGCACCTCATCAGTCTGTAGGGATTCATTATTAGCTGGAATCTGCAGAATAATCGTTAGAAGCCAAAGAGTTGTTCTGTGAAATTTTGAGACTGTCTAGCAATGCTCACCCGCAACTGTCAGGAATGAAATCCAGGATCGTCCGGTTTTGAGACAAGGACATTTCCATACAAACACCTGTCAGTCGGAGTTCACAGTCTCCTAATACCAACCTCTGCTTATAATTAATGTGGGGCTGTGGCTCATTGGTCTTGTTGCTTGACGTCCAACCCATGGGTCAAGAGTTCGAACCTCGTTGAATCTACTGAGGTTTCGACAGCCAGGTTTTATCACAATGGGTATGCCTCATTCCCAACTGTATGAAATTCCTTAAACTTAATACAGAGGTTCACTGAGCTTCAGTGTCTCACATGGATCTTTGATGCCACCACTCACGTGTTCTCATTAAAACCTGATCAACTCATCTCGAAGGTATTAGTCACCGATGAGTAGTGAATTTAAAATTCATCTGTTTAAATTGTGCGGTGCTCATTTCTGGACAGTTTTGAATTTACTTCTTTATTTTCAAGCATTATTTTTGAGATCTGATTTTGTCAGCCTTAATGTTTTTTGTTATTCTTTCGGCTTTCCCTACACTATGTGTGTTTTATTTTATTTTTCCGATGTTTGTTAGACATACAAAAATTCCCTCTACGAATAGTGGACAATGATCTCTTAGTAACAGAAATGTATCGTGATCCCCTGCGTGATCCAATCACTGCACTTAGTGTACATTTATCGCCGAAAACATGTAAGTCTTCTATTTGTGTTCTATCATGTTTTATTCTGTGAATATTGTTATGTTTAAAACTTTTATTTGCATAAAATTTTACTTTATTTTGCCATCATACCGTTTTTTTGGGTGAGGTCAATTTATTCTCTCAAGCCAATGAGAGTGTTTCATTGTTTAGACCAAATATAGACTGAATGACTAACAGTCGAGTGTCTATTTCGGTTAATAGTGATTAATAGTGGAATAGATTTTGACTGTATCTGTTTTCCAAAATAGAGTTTGAATGGATTTCTGTCGGTCAGTTTTACATTGTTTCACTAAATAATACCACTTTCTTCTCGAATGCTAATCTTCAAGTATTGGTTTTGTAGGGATTTTGTTTGATTGCATGGAGGATTTCATCATGATATGACATCAGTTAGAGAACCACTGGAAAACCTGGGAGTACTGGACAGCTGTTTCGTCCTAGTTTGGGACTCTTCATCAGTACGCACCCACTGGGGTTCCAACCCAGGACCAATTCACGACATAGCGCGACCAAGAATCATTGCATTGGGTCCCAGTGGCTCAATGGTCTACGAGCTCGCCTTGTAACCAGAAGGTCCTGGGTTGGAACCCTGGCTAAATGATTGACTAGCTTGGCTTTTAACCTGAAGGCCTTGGTCGTACTCCCTCTGTAGAGTCATAGATACTCACTGACGAAGAGTCTCAAACTGAGACGGAACAGTTGTCTAGTAGTCTGTGGTTTTTCAGTGGTTCTTTAGTTGATGCCATTTCGTGATGTAATTTGAGAATTGCTGTAAATCGGAAATGTCTACCTATACAATAGGAAGGCGTATTTCTCAAACTAAACGTGTTTCAGTGGAATCCAGAGTGCGTGTTTCATCCTGTTTGAAACTCTTCTACTGGATGTACGTCCATTCCCCAGTGAAAGATGGTGTTCCCACTGAGACTGAACACCCAGTCCCCATCATTTTAATCGCCTAAGCATTGTCCACTGCATCACTTAGATGATGACAGCCACCTCTTGTGCAACGGGTGTCAGTAATTATTTAATTCAATTTGGACTATCCCGTCGATTGATTAGACAGAAGTGTTCGGCCTCTCGTGACCTAAGTGGTCTTGTGGATAACGCTGTGGCGTTTGAAACTATGTGTGCTGGAATGGGGCCTCAGTGGGAACACTATCATTGACTGGGGAATGCAGGTATATCAAGATGACGAGTCCTGAAAAGGACGAAATGCACACTGCCAGTCACCATCCATCAAATAACTTCAAGTTAAATCCTGAGATACGGTCAAAGTATCCGCGCTAGGGGCCGGTACGTCAGCAGACGCCGAGCACTTTGGGCCAATCAGTCAACGGGAAAATTCAAATTAAACTAAATAGTAAACTTATTTTAAATTTTATATTGAAAAACAGTAATATTTGCACCCAACAGTAGTAGTGTTCCATAGTCGTACGAAACATCTGCTGTGTTTGTGTTGAAAATTGCATTGATTGTTCATCTTTTGTTCGTCATTTTGTTTGTTTGTTACTTGGTTACTAATTTATATTTAACAGCTGCATAAAAAATGTTCTTTAATTGTTTCTTGTAAATATGAATGGGATTATTATTATTATATTTTTGGCTCAGTATGCCACCGTGTGTGTATGTGTAAATTTTCCCTTTGAGTTACTGTTTTGTTTGGAAAACTTAGTAATTTCATTCTTCAGATATCGTGACCTTGCACAACTTAACTTGCTAAAATCACTTATAAACATGCACTGTTAGTGATAACTAACACGGCAGTGAAACGTCCGCCAGTCAAAATTTCAACTTTCTGTTTGTGTAGGATCTTCAGCTTAGAAAAGTAATCGATATTATATCAAATGAAGTAAGATATAATCCTACAGTACATGAACAACCAGCAGGTTGATAGCTAATGAAAAATGTACGTCATTGCATGACTCTGTTGTACCAAGACATAATTGCATGGTTGCAGTTATGAGGAATGACGAAAAACTGATGCTCAACGGAAATGATATCAGGATATTAATCAAAGGATGTGTGTACTGCACTTTCGCTTGTCCTTCTAATACAGGCCAAACACAGCCATTCAAAGTGGAGGCGCTAAAGAGGCTAGTTGTCTTTGGCCACAGACATTTGCATCTTGTCTCCAGTGTTGAGAGGTTTAACATAATGAGTATTATCGAGGCTAGATGTAGGGTGTTAGGTAAGGGGGGAAGTGAATCGATAAGGTTGTACCAAACTACTGTTTGGAATAAAGCTATTATTATTATTAATACATTGGTTGAGATGGCTGGGACACGTGTTGCGCATACCAAGGCGCGTTGCCTTCCTTGCCGAACAGTGTTAGCTGACATCGGATTACATTGGAAAGGATTTAGGTTTAGTCAAACCAAGACTTGATATCCATCCATGAAGTTTTTGAAAGTTGATTTAAGCCAGCCACATTGGGAGATGTAGACTGCCTATTTTGTGGTCTTCCGGATGGTAAGAACCAATGGCTGGAGACTTTTGATGATATTGCTCAAAATCGTTTGAAGTGACGTAGACTCATTCACACCCATTACATCCTGGTGTTTCCTCATACTGTAACAACAGTAGACAAAGGCCAGGCAACAGATCATTTATTAAGGAAAATCAACACATATTTATAGATTTTAATGTACATTATTGTAGATTATTGTTAGTAGAAAATACAGTCTTTTGATTGGTTGTTTCTCACAGAAAGTTAACCTTGCGTCTCTTTGTGGCTGTATCGGATCATCCATATGCTAACTGTATCCGCCTACGCAAAGCCTTTGTTCTCATCATTTTCTCACCACCAATATTGGGGACATAAACATTGACGTCAATTACTGTCTGCCAACTTTGGCTAGCTGCCAGCTCTCACCACAATACTACTGTTTTGTCTCCCGTGTATTTCTGCTCATTATAGTCCTTCTGAATCTCTTTTCCGTTGTCTTTGGTTTCCCTTTTTTTTTACATGGAGTTTTGTAACTCAAAGTGTTACACTTCTGTACAAAGTTCTATGTTGAAACTCCTCAAGCAGTCAGATGACTAAATTGACATTGACATTAGATGCTATCACATTGCAATACATTCGAATGAAACACTTATTGCACTGTTACCTTTGTCAGATGAATCCCTTAACCTCGATTATTTAATGAAAAGTTGATAAATAAATGTCTATGAAACATAAATTTTCGTTTAAAGCCATATTAATATATGTGTAAAACTTGGGCACTGTGGTAGTAATTAATTCCATATTAGTTTGTTTATTAGATGTATCACACAGTGATACAGTATTATTATTTACTGGATGACGAGGTTTCGAACAAAATTTGTCGTTCATAATCATATCAATTGTAATCACATGACTTTGAAACTTGAGTTTTATAGTTTTCTTTGTTCTCTCCTATTTGTCGTAGGGGTAGTAGAATTTTCCAGATATCTGGGACAGGTGATGAATCATTCCTATTACATGTATTTGCAGTTGATTCGATACACAAAGCTTCTGTTATCAATCTCTCCCTATACCCTGTGACATTAGATTTTAAAACTGTCATCCTATCCCATCCTATTGTATGGTTGTGTGTAACTGCATGTAGTGCTATAGCTGAACTATTCTCTAGATTTCTTATCTTATTCGAGTCAACTAATCTAGATTTTGCTAGGTTTTTATGTTCAGCTAGTCTGACTACCCCTGTTCTACTAGTTTGACCTATGTATTTGACCTGACAATCAACTCAGGCAGGGTATTAGATAAACTAAATTGTTTTGTTTTATTGGCTCCACAGGATCCTTTAACCGGCAAAGCTTGTTTCGAATTGAGTTTGTGAGTTTTAATGCCAGGCACTTTTATTCCTGCCTTGTTAAGAATTCTGCGTAAGGTTTCCGAGGTTCGTTCTTTGTATGGAGGTACTACTGATGATTTAGTGTCGTCAATAATATTATTATTATCATCATTATTATTATCACTATTATTATCATTATTATTGTTATTATCACTATCGCTACTATCATTATTTATTTTATTTTTACATTTCCTTACATATTTCCTGACTAATTTATTCGGGTAATTATTAGGTTTCAAGGCTTCTTTTATGTGTATCACTTCCTCTCTTAGATTTTCCTTAAACATCGATTAAAGCCTTTAAGTGATGATTGTTAGTAGTAATAATAATAAAAGGCTAAATATCAAAAGCAAGTTTGGAACTACTATAATCCACAGTATAAGCAACCGATTACAAATTTACTCTAACTGATAAAACAGCTCTTACTAACAGCCTTCACACAAGTCATGCCAATTAAGAATAATCGAGAAAAATCAATTTCCCCAGAAGCAAAAACTCAGACAAACTGTAAACTTATGACTCACACATTGGTCAAATAAATCTAAGGCTTGATAATCACTTAGTCACCATGTGATGTAAAAGTACCGGAAATTACATTTTTTTATTGAATCATATGAACGAACCCCCTTTTCAACATTTCAACATTTTGAGGATGATAAGTTTATATGTAGATAAAACCAACTGTCAAGGACCTTGAGAGATTGATGCCAAGTCTTGGTTTGACTAACCTTAAATCCTTTCCAATATAATCCGATGTCAGCTAACACTGCTCAGCTAACGAGGAAGGCAATGGCTTGGTATGCGCAACACGTGCCTTAGCCACCTCAATTGATGTAGACTTACAATCTCATTGAATGACTTTCCCCCCTCTCCCCTTACTTAACAATCTGCGCCTAACTTCACTATTACTCATTGTGTAAACACCTCAACACGGGAGATACAACGCAAACATCTGTAGTCGAAAGCAACTGACTTCTTTTTTTAGCTCTTCCACTGTTGATGACTATGTCTTGCCTGTATGAAGAAGGATAGGCTGAATTCCTGCACAGTACGTACGTCTGTTGGTCGACAGTTGGATAATACGTCTACTCCAGAGCTGACGTAAGTTAGCAAATATCACTCAAGCGTGTGTATCTGTGCTGAGATTTTGTCAG